TTGCAGTCCGCTGTAAATATCGCCATACTGAAACGACAATTCCAGGTGCAGTGATTTGCCTTGTGAATATCTGAAAAAGTGCCCAACTCCTCCTACAGCTTTGGTAACTAACATAAACGACGTATGCTTGAGCTCTTAAGCATAGTTTGTCGTATACATGTGATGTTCCTCGATTTGAATAAAACATGTAGGAAATTATAGAGACGACTTTTCTAAGTGGACTTCTACTTCTACTATTCAACGACTTTTGAATTCGCGCATCACTTACTCAACACCGAAAATTGCTTCTTTGAAGGGATAAACTTCTCAACTAGTTGTGTGGCATCTGCTCGGCCAGTGATCTACTGATCATATCACATAATCAAGGAGGCAGATTTAAAAAAGCTGGGATGCATGATTGGTTGTTGGAATTTTTATTGCTAACTGCTGTTTCAGCGAATACAAGACTTCTTGAAAGAAACAATAAGTAGGTATTCAGACAGTCACCGTCATATGGTCACAGTCGTTGTCAGTTCTGTTCAATGCAAGCTTCTGTTAGCCAGTGCGATATTCCGAAGGCAGCATACGGTTTATGACATTGCTTTCCTAGTACAGGACATAAAAGGGTTAACCAGAATGATGAGAAGTTAGGTTCTTCAACAAAAGACCTTAAAAAATTGAACCTAGCACGTGTCATCATCACCGACATGACGTCGAATTGGGAACAACGGCGAAGAAGTTGCGTTACAAGGTTAGAGCTAAACATAATACTCAATCCATGTAAGTAAAAACATCACTGCGCTAAATGCTCTATTTATCTATAGATAATAAGGGGATTAAAGCAAGCTTCTATACAAAGACAAGCAATGAAAATTTATTTTGGCGAAAGCGGCAAAAAGTGGAAGAAAAGGAGTGAATAGCCGACATAACAGTACTGTTGGTTGGCAGAGAACTAAGCGAATCAACAACGGTCAATTCAACCAAATAGTATTTGTGTATTGAAGAGAGCAGAACAAGAAAGAAAATGGTTCCGGTTTATCCTAATCCTTCTTTTGATCGAGATCCGTTGCTCTCCTATTTCGAAATTGCACAAAAGATTCTTGGGAACACGATCTCCGTGGGGTTTTTTTTGCTGTACTTCAGTTATATTTGGTTTCCAGTTGAAAAGAAAAGAACCAGCGTCTTGACAAAAAGGAACAGTTTACTGACCGAACCAAACATTTCCTAGATCGGATGGAAGTTAGCGAAACGTGCGTTGCGAGAGATTGTAAAGAGCGAAAACAGAACGATGAAAGATGTGTCGTTTTTCCTCCCGTTAAACTTTCTTTCAGGCCAATTTTAACTTCGAGTTTTTCAATTGCTCCATTCAGATATTTTTTTCACCTCAGTGGCTGAATAGCTTCAAACAAGTAGTTATTTCACTGGTACCTTTATAAGCAGCATGAAGTAAAACCCCAATCACAATGGTACTGAGATATTTGCAAGACTACGGACCGCAGGTCTCTGTGCTGGCGAACGAACGCGCTATTGCTTTTTCTGGGAGTAACGCGTTCACCACCACACCATGCCAGTCATTCGCTTCGCCTGACTCTCAGGTAGTTATATCGATCAGTGCCATCAGCAATCACCTCCAGTAATCTTTGATTTCACTTGCATTTCGATACAACTTAATAATCGAAAATCTTCTTGACACATAAACATATATAATTAACTACAAGACTAGTAATAACTAGAAAAATCAGTGAAATGCCCACTTTTTTCAGGCTTTGGGAATATTTTAGAGATTTCATTTGCCGCAGTATCCTATGGTTATAGATCTGCTATCTCTCCGAAGATCTGGTAACGAACTTACCTGGAAACAGCTCACACCCTCCGATCCATGTGAGCATGCCCTAGCACAGCAACCTGAGCACTTCAAGAAGGTGATCGCTTGACCAGCATTCGAGGACCTTCATAAAGAAGACGCAAACACACAAGCCTCAAAAAACAGCTATGCATTGGAGAACGCCATCTTTTGCTGCATAACGAGATCCGGCTTCTTCGAATGCTTTCGCACTGAAAATATAAAACTTGTAGATGAGACTCTGCAGTGCAATTAACAAAGCTAGGCATGAACCGAGACATGCCAGTTCATATTGGATTGCCTATCCTTCACGAATTATACGGATTGTGGTAAATGGATATCGTCGCGAATATCTTGTACGAGCAAACATGCTCTAACATGGTTTCTCGCTGCACTATGTTACTTCAAAGCAGTGCGCACTTTTTCTAAAGAGAATGGCACAAATGAATATCAGTTAAAAACGTCTAAACGAGAAGGAACCAATCAACTAAGTAGCTAAATAAACATCTGAATCACCCCTTTCTTTCACCCTATTTTGATTACGTTACCATCTTGCTGTGTTTGTAATGAAGTGCTTCGAAGAAACTGTTGTGTGAATAACTAAGAAAAAAAACCGTTTTTTTATTTGTTCCAATTATTTTTGTATAAGACATACTGAGCGATGTACAGGTAGGTAGGTTTGATCGGAATAGACTAGTGATATATTCCTCAATCAAGATCCCTACAGCGTATATGAAACAGAGCAAAAACAGCAAGAACTGCACATCGTTTAAGCCTCTGAACTTTTTATGCTATCAGCCAATTGGGTCATTTGAACAAAAATCAATCGTAAGGAGAAAATTCGTTGTGATCTCGACAACGAAATCCATACAGGCGGCATTCGACGAAACCTCAGCCATACTCACCTCCATACAGACTTATAAACAACATTTCACTATCCAAAAAAATAAAGAAAAGGCTAAAGCTTACCCAAAAAAGGCTTACTAGGAAAGGAGTTCGACAAACTGCAAGTCATTTGGAAGAAGCCCTTATCCATGGACTCCAAGAGATGTGTCGCCATTAAAACCAAATTTGGGTCACTTGATGATGAATGGAAGTGCTATATGCCACGGGTAACATCGTCGCAGGACATTCTTTACAAAAACATAGAAAAGGAAAACCAACACAAAAACAACACAAAGGATAAAAAGAGAATGAAGCTCTTAGCGTTGATCAATCTCTGAGGGATGTGCCATGAATTCGACTTCATTAAGCATCGTTTGGAAGTGATTGAATGAATATGTGACCATTGCAACGACTCGCAGCGGCCTAGCGATGTATCCGGGCAGTGCCGCTATCTTCGCAGACAAGTCTGGTGCCAACTTGCCGATTCTGAAAAGAAAGAAGGCTTGGTGGACCATGAGCGTGGAAATCGATTCCACGTGTGTATTGCATGGCGCCTCCGACCACTGCACCACCCGCACCCTACAAAAACAACGAAAAAAACACATATACAAAAAACACAGTGCGGTAATAAATATGTAGCTCGAATCTGGTACATCCTAACTTCGCGTGTCGAACGTACTACGACTATGATGTTGCCTTGGTCGAACTGACAGTAGAGAACGGATAAATAGAAAGGACGGCAACCTATAGGAAGTATTTGCATCATTTTACCACATAAGAATGACACATTTAAGTATACGAGGTTTTTTATAAACAGAGCGATGTGCAAGGAAACCTCGAAAAAATCGAGAGTGAGGGAAATGCTCGCCAATTAGGAACACGCGGCTGCAAACGCGACTGTCACCCTTCGTGAACATCTCGAGCTTGCGTCTGATAAAGTTCTTTTCTTCGTCCATAACCATAAATTTCTTTAATTTCTTTTCAAAGAAATTTGGACAATTCCTAGTATAGTAGTTGAATGACTTTATGTTATAGCACTGCTGCAAAATTGTTGCTTCTTTCCGATTTCGATCAAAACATGACCATATTGTAAGAAGACCACTAAAACGTATTCTACTTCAGGTTTTTCATAGATGATGCTGCAGGTGGATAAGCCACTATGTTATATATATATATGTATATATATATATATATATATATATATATATATAGTTAGGAAGCTAATAGCACAATAGATCATCACGAGCACGCTGCTGGATCGATCCAGCTCNTATATATATATATATATATATATATATATATATATATATATATATATATATATATATAGTTAGGAAGCTAATAGCACAATAGATCATCACGAGCACGCTGCTGGATCGATCCAGCTCCAAGGTTACCAAATCTCTCACCCCTCGGGGTCGCGAAACTCACTCCGGACTTGTCCGGAAACAAATCACTTTTTGCAATTCAATTAAGAACGTTCCAGCTTCGCTATCTCCAGGCTTCAGTGAGAATCGACTCGACCAGCATACAACGACATTCAAGATGAAATGAAAATCCCCAAACAGCAACCGAAACCACACTTAAACAGTTGGAAGATCATCTTGGATGATAGATGACAGAAAATGAATTGAAAGTCAAAAGTGCTGGCGTCCGCAAGTAGGCGTGAAGACAGGTCGTGCAAAGTAAAATAAAAGGATAGACGATAACGGTCTCGACGTTGATCAGCCCCTGAGAGAAGCGCCATGCATTCGACCTCAATAAGTATCGCTAAAGGTGACTGAATGCATGTCTGGCGCTTGTAACGGCTCGCAGCAGCCTAGTGATGTATCCGGCCTGTGTCGCTATCTTCCTAGAAAAGTCCTGTAATAATTTGCCGATTTCGGAGGGATGGAAGCTTAGTGAGCCTTGGGTGCATGGATCGAACCCGTGTGCATTGACGGACGCCTCCGGCCACTGCACCACACGTGGACTAAAATAGAGTAAGAAATGAAAAAATATATATATACACATACATTCTTAAGACGGTGCGGCAGTCCTCTTTTTGAATTTACCAGATCCGAGGTTTTTGAGAACTTTTCCGAAAATTATAAAATGTTGAGTTTATAAAAGTAGCAGTTTGTTGAAAATCACCACTGTCGCAAAGATGTTGACCTTTTTCGGGAAGTTAACAAATTCAATGCATTTCTATGATAGTCTCTGAAACAAAGGGGCCAACCAGTTATCTGGAAATATTGAACATTTTAGGTGAATGGGATGCGAAAAGCATTTTTTCAGCAGAACAAGCTTTTACATGGTAGTTAGCAGTTTAAAGGTTCAACCATGTCTTATCCAGTCAGAAATCCACGTTGGATATTTCGTGGCAACTTCGACAGGTGGGAAATTAGCACAGATTAGGAGACGAAATATCCTGCATTGTTCTCGAAACGTTGCTATGACTAGCTTTGGTTTGTTCGAATCAAATTTTTCAGAGGCAGTAATGACATCTGAGGATTCGAAATCTCAGAATTATTCATCGTTCACAGAGCCCTTTTCTCCTTGTATCCAGACGGAATATGTTCGCGTAAGTGTGCAAGGTTTGAGCTTGAAGCAGTATTTATATTATTTGAAACGAGCTCCATCGTTTAGACCGTTGGAGATTCTCTCGGACTTGTTAATCTCACGCCAGCTGCTCTCCAGTGCCTTGCAGACAGTGTATTTCTAACATGATTCCGTTTTTCTAGCCTGTGTTTTCGTTTCTTTTGTTCCGAAACTTTCTTATCACGAGCATAGTCTCGCATAGGCTCGAAATCTGCTGATATACTTACTGTTTAAACGATTTATACTCGTTCGTGCGTTTCTAGTTATTTGTGTTTTGAAGTTAACGGAACTTTTAACTCGCTGCTCGAAGGCAGCGCGTAAATTAGCGATTCATGGTCGACGAAGAACAGTACTGGCTGGTGATGTACAGAACGCCCTGCGTATGATGTGCATTCCGGTGATTCTTTCAGTCTGTTTACATGAGTAAAGGTCATTTGTTTGTTCTTGCTTTTAGGTTCCTACAGCATTTATGGTCCCGCCACAACCTTCCATGCTACAACTGCGTATGCCAGCTGGAGAGCAACTATATATCAAGGATAATGTGGATCTCAATATGCCGTTACGAGCACAGCCTTCCCAAACCAGAAATCCCAGCGAACGTCATATTCGTAGTACGAGTGTTTTTACATTTTCATTTCTTATACAACTCATTTCTTCATTTCTCACTCTCAGAGCTTTCCTTTTACTTGGAAGTGTGACTAAATACTCTGGATTGCTTCTTTGAGGTCAGATTAAAGTTTCACTGCTTGTACTATTTTAGTCACCCTACCTATATTCCGGACTATGTTATGAAGTTGGTTGTGCATTCTTACGCAATTTTTTTTTAGTTCAGTGGCTACGGGTAGAAAACGATGAATACCCACAACCACTGAAGAAAATGAGGATGGCGCTGCCAGGAAACGATTTCACCTCTTCTCGTCTTCCGGCTGCACTGAGAAAAAGGTCATAGAATCACATTTTCTTAATTACATCTGCTTTTTCACTACGACTCAATGAGAGAGAATGGCTAGTAGTGCAGTAAGCCGTTGTTGTGAAGGTAACGTGAAAATGTAAGAAAGCAAAAAGTAAAATGCGCGATCTGCAAAATAAAAGACGATTTTGATTACGCATGTTTATATGTGTTACATTTTGTTGACTAAGGACCTTACTACATCCTGAAATCGTTTCACCATCACTTTCGTATCGTTTGGCCGCTCAGGGATTGCCAAGAAAGGAACGCATTTTGCTTAACCCCTTGCCTCCGGATCCCTTGTCAGTGGTGAGTTTCATTGAAAAATTGGCTTGTTATTTCAATATGGTCGTTTTATTCTCAAGTGTCCAAAATTTACTTAATTTGTTTTCACAGTACACTTCTAATTTAGGAAGAACAGAGATACCTTAAGGAAGTTGTTGAAGCTTGTGTTGGTGTGGATCGTGAAAAGCGTCGAAGAGCTCTTCAGTCTCTCGAGCGAAATGCAACGCTTCATGTGTTTCTACCACGATTATCGCGCTTGTTTCATACATCTGTACGTTGTAGCTGGGCAAAGACTAAGAAGCTAAACCATGAATCAGTTTCATTTTCATTCCGATTACAGCGTGTGTCAATTTTCATTTAGGGATTTTGGATAGAAGATGTGCTTGACAACCGTTTTTATGTGAACGTATTCAGTTTCAGGTTCGTTGTAATATTGTCCTTCGTTCTCTCTCCATGCTGATTTACATTGTACGAATGATGAAAGCGGTTGCCTTTAATGCCTCAGTGAAGCTAGATGGGGTGGTAAGTGACACTCCACTCATTCCTATTTACTACTTTGTCCTTCAACGACTCTTCTGTCAACAATTACATGCTTTCCTTTTTTTGGGTATACAGCGAGTTTTATAGCTTCACGAATTTTTGCCATCGCTGATCAGTTGCATGGTATGCAGAATTTTATGCGATCGACCAGAACTGGAGGATCACTGGGTACTTCGTGATGTTGCTGGCAGCACTCTGATCAAGATCTTAAAGTGTGTGACACCACAACTCGGATTTTCTTCAATAATAGGAGTGTTGCATTACGGAGGGATTATTCGCCGGTTTAAAAACATTACAAGCAGACAAACAGCGCCTTTATCCAAATTCCAACTTTCGAGTACTTTAGAGATCACGGCACGGAAAATATTCGTCGCCGTTCGTTTCTGTTCGTGAAGAAAGTTTTTTTTGATTCATCATCAAGTTATCCTATGATCTATGGAACAATTGCGACTCTACTAGAGCTTGCTCCACCGGACGAAGTAAGCTGAACATTTCTCTACATTGCTTTTCATAATCGCAACAGAAAATGGAAATTTGAAACCTAATGATGCATTTATTTATACGGTCCTATAAACTAATCTTTTTGAGCCGATGCGAAGTTGGTATAGGTCTTCGTTGTCGTTGTTGTTGTTGCCGTTGCTGCTGTTATTTTTAGTCGACGGGCGACGTTTCGGCGATTTCGCCTTCCTCAGAGCCTAGACATATTTAATGTAATAGTAGTCTTATATTCGGTGAAATATTTATAGTATTAATAAAGACCGAACGTTCATATAAACTCCGTATTGTTCAAAAAAGCTTCTCACCGTGTGTTACGAGTGGGACTGCCTGCGTGTTGTTCACGTGGGACGGCGAGCGAGACCCACCGAGAGTCAAAATATTATTTTGAAAAGAGATGCCAGGTCACGTGTGATAAGAGGCATTCATCTTTCTGGTTCATATTTGGGTTTTTGAAATCTATCCAAAACATCTCGAGAGTTTCGCGCGTTGATGTTTTCGATTCCTCCGCTAGGATCCGGCCGGTCACATCAAAGTCACCGCCATTGTTGCTTTTGCTCCCTATATGTACCTAGAGTAGTGCTTTGATGAATTCTAGCTTTTCCATCTAAGTGTTCTTTTATGCGGACATAAGGCGGTCTTCCCGTTTCCCCATTGGATTCCTCACCGCATGCTTTACCAGAGCTCATGCAATCACCGTCTGTCCCGTTTGGACAGATTATACAGTTTTCTGAGCTGCACAAACCATCATAGAGACGGTTTCAAACTAACTGACGGCGTAGGGTATTGGATGGGATGTCAATAATTGTTACATATTTTTCAAGACCACTTTTTCTTAAGCACCTCTTAATGGCGTGACTTACTTTATTTGATATGAAAGGTAGCCTAAAAGGCATCTTACTTACGTCCGAAATATTATTTTGGGGAAATACCCTACATTTTTCTCTAACCCGAGTGGCTTCTACTTCGTAGCCATTGGAAATGGCTATTTTTCGTGCCAGGTTTTGCGATTCTTTCCTTCCCTCTTTTCCTGTACACACATTTTTAGCAGTATGGTGCATGTTTTTTATAAGTGCTTCTTTCATGTGTGAAGGATGAGAGGAAAGGTAGTGAACTAGTATGTTTTTACTACTTGGCTTATGTATGTATATAAATGATGCAGTTACATTTAATCTCTTTGGGTTAAGTCGCCGTTTCTCTTGTGGGCAGATAGGAGGTTGTTATTCTGTCATAACAGGATAAGAAATTTGTGACGTAAATTTCTTCGCCTAAGAAAGAGCTTCTTTTGGGCAGCTTTTTGTATTTTCCATCCATTGATGGATGCCAACCGCACACAGTTTACATGGCTTTGAAATGTGCCTTCACATGCCAAGCAATAAGCATGAGGCATAGGGAAAGACCGCACGTGAGCACAAGACACTCTTCCCTGCGGTCCGTATTTCGATCCTTGCAATTTATCTAGAATACCTGAAAATCGATGAAAGTGAGACAGAGCGGTCTATTGCACTCTCGGGATCCTTCAATGAGTCTTGTTAACGTGTGGATGTGATCCATTGTACTAAATCGTTTTCGAAGCTTTGCTTGCTCACATGGCTGTGCTTCGTCCAGTGTTCTGTCAATCCTGTTTTGGTCGACTCCAGAAAAAAGTTTGTAGGCGACAGACAGCAAGCAGATTGGGCGATAGTTGCCGATATAGTGGAGATCGTCCTTCTTGAACCTCAGCACGCTATTGCTGTTCTTCCACTAAGTAGGGACATTCAGACAGGTGACGTGTGAAGAGCCGAGCCAGTGTGCTTACGAGGATCGGAGGAAAGTTCTTTAGGTCTTCCGATCTTTTCCCTTCCCGACCTGGTGCTGTTTGATTTTTCACCGATGAAATGTCGGATTTCGGAAGGGAGAACCGGTGGCACAACACATCCGTCCACCTTTATTTCATATGACGGAAGGTGGACGTGGCTATCGAAGAGATCTGTGTAATATTCGCGAATAATTTCTCTATTGTCTTTCTGGACGCTTTAACTGTTCCGTCTGAGAGACGGAGTGCAACCATCTTAATCTTGTAATTGGCGGCGCTTCGGTGGGCTTTGTGAATGCTTTTCCCAGCCTCTGCAGCTTCGACCATTACGGCTGCTCTTCTCTCTTTAAAATCTTCTTTTATCTGTGTGCATAGTTTTGCAAGTTTGGACGTTAGTTCACGGTTGCCTACAGCTCGTGCAATTTTACGCTAACGTATCAGCTCGAGTGTTTCTGGAGACAAACATCTCTTGGTGACTTTCGAACATTCAGCATTTATAGCGCTAACGTGAAGATGACGAATGAGTTGATCATATTCTTCGTAGCTGTTATCGACAACGGTATCTTACCAATAGCCGACTAATAAATTGAATAAGTCCTAGTTTGCCGTGGTTCTGAGACTTCCGTTTTGAAATTTAGAGGCTATTCATCCTTTCTGCAAAAATGGAATCTTGTACAAAAGAGACGATGCTCGGATTGCGTGTAGAATTTTAAGACAACAGCGACGTCGGTTAGGCCAAACCTTCTATTTATTATGATGTGGCCTATTTCTTTATCGTACTCCCCATTGGGAGACTCTCACGTCCAGTGTTGAAGGTTTGGTTTCTGGAATTACGAATTAGTATGGATGGTCGCGGTAGTCATGATAAACTCAGAGAGCCGCTCACTCTGTTCGTTCCATTCTTATCCGTGGGTCCAAATGTGATGTTCTTCAGATGATCTTCTTGTTTCAAACATGGCGTTAAAATTCCTATCATAACCTTGAAGAATGTGTGGTCTTCTCTGTAGAACTTCTCCAGATCCATATAGAACGCTTCGACTTCCTTTTCGTCATAGTTTGATGTCAGCGCGTAAACGGCGAAGATTGTCAAAGACGGAATTGATCCACGTCTTCTTAATCGTAAACGTCCGCTTCCGGTTGTAAGTTGTTCGAATGAATCGATGTTCGTGGACAAACTCGTGCTGACGAGAACGCCGACGCCGCCAACTCCTTTACTGTTGCATGTTCCGAAGAACAGTTTGTCTCCAATGTCATAGACGGCGTTGAAAGGCTGGCGTCTTCTCGTCTCGGCCAGGCAGATGACGTCGTACCTTAGTCTTCTTGCTTCATGGGCAAGTCTTCTATCGAGGACTCGGATGCAAGTGTACGTGCTTTGTAGGTACAGATCGTCACCATTGTTCTTTGAAGTGCAGGCAGCTTCCATTGGGCCTGAGGTCTTAGCAGCTTCTCCGTACTCGTCCTACCCAATGCTGCGAAATTTAGGCTTTTTCGGGGTCAGAGGAATGAGGCTTGTTTTTCTTACTGTGTTTAGCATTTTTGATACCCACATATCATATGGCTTGCTGGTCTTTGAACGTGGAGGCTGGTTATACTCACGGGTAGCTTGCCAGGCTCTCCCAGAGTGGACATGGAACTTTTTTGTTGGAGGCGGCGACTCCCAATCGCTTCCCATATACTTCACAGTCACTTGATTGCAGGCTTTTGGCCGAATTGACTCGAGTATGTGCCAAGTCGGCGCAGCAGAAACAGACAGTCCATCCCCTGGATTCACCTGCATCTCAAGGAAACAAGAATCGCTTTTGGCCCGCGGTTAACCCCCTATCCGCAACCTAGGGACGCTCCACGTAGTCTCGCGACAGACCAACTATCGGGTTCCCTCATATGAGGAAAAACCGTGAAAGAAGCTTCCTTAGTGGGCCTAAATGGAGCAAAAGCCTATTATTAGTACTTCTCTAAGCACGCACAGGACACGAAAACACAATGTTCATAATTTTCTTATGGCAGTTTCGCTTATGAGTCAACAACATTGGATCTTTTGAGTGGTTTTCGGCGATTTTTCAAAAGCTAAGAGTGAGTCGATGAAGCTATGTCGTCACCAACACACTCTGACTTGGTGTCCCGTTTCGGAATAATTTTCTGATATGAGCGAGCTTCGTTTATTATCCTTTATGAGCAACAAAGGAGTGATCTCACTATCTGAAAAGTGGAAACAAGGAATTCGTTTAAGTGGCGTAGCACTTGGTTTCTACAATAGACTTTCACTAAGTCAGTTGAGTGTTTACCGAATAATATGTATGGGCCTATGTGATAATACAGCTGCGTTCTCAAGAAGGCCAAGTTGTCGAGGCGCCGAGACGTTAGCCATGGAATATCAAAAATGCCTGTTAAAACCATCTTGCCGAACTTTTAACGAGGTTTTCTGAGACGAAATGTTGTGCGTTTTATGGAGAAGTCATTGACCGGTCGGTTCACTCTCTTGAGGTGAAATGCCTTGAGGTTTTCCATTTTAGCTAGTTCGTTTGCGTCTGCGCTTCATGACATTACTGGAGAGAACTCGTTCCGCTAGTATAACAAGTGCCGACCAGCAGGAGCGAATTGAGGCTCGTAAGCTCTACAGGGCTCTATCAGTAAGGTTTTCTTCTATTTATTTTCTATTCTTGGAAGCCATTGTCAAAGTGACATGATGACCTCTTTTCCTAAATTTTGTTGCTTGCCCTCCTAAGGCTTTAGTAATTTTACTGTGTTTGATAGGCTTAATGCGTTGATGATCATGTGCATGTATTTCAATGCATTTTCTCCCTGTTTCCTTCTCTATGCAAGTTTTTGCCGCATCTTCTTTTCTTTTCTTTCATTTTAAAATCTATTGGTTTCTCTTCATAGATACATGGATGGTACATCCGTGGAGCTTTCGGAAGCCTTCTTCCCCACTTTGGAAATGTAATATTGTAGAAGGTTGCTGCTTATGAAGAGGGTTCTAAGAGATCTGTGTGCTAAAGGGAATCTGAAGTTGCTGTCGAACGAAGAAGAAAGCGTTGAAGAACCCAAGTAGAAATGATTTGGTGGTGTGAAGGAATTGTGTATTATGTACCATTATGCAGTTTTCCGTTATCCATGAGGCGTGAGGAATTTTTTTTTTCCTGACCTAGCAAGTGTAGTCGTAGGCGCACGGAGGATTTAATTCAAAGGAAGTTCTTGAGTTTGCTTTAGAAACACGAACCGTCATTGCGACGACTTATCGAAGAAGCAACACATGCGTCGTGAAGAGGTCACACAAGAGCACATCCATGAGACGCTATGTTTGTGTGGTCCTTGTTTGAATATATATGCGGTAATCTCTTTGACCAGTTGGTTATGTATTCATGTGCACATCTCTTTTCTTCATCGTACTTAGGTAATGGTGCCGATGTTATTATATAGTTGCAGGATAGATTTTATTACTCTGTTTGTACTCAAGTGTTGGGAGAAGCTGTGAGGCTCTTATCATCTTTTATGGGATGAATCAAAATTGATGACCTGGTTTTGTCTTTTTGTGAGTAACTTAATGTTAATGAAGAATTTAAAAATCTAGGAATGAAAGAGAGTTGAAGGCTTTATTATCAAGTTGAGTTGAATGCGAACTAGACGATAGGCTTACACTATTGAGAATACATTGGTCACTAAATGTTGAAATAGGCGTGGTTACCATAAATGATAATGTAGAATATTTCCTAAAGGAATAAACGAAGAAATTTCGTTGTGGGGTTCAAGCTGATCCAACGGAAACTGGTCATCACTCAAAAATTACGGTACTTCCTGTGTAGATATTTTTTATTGAAGGTTCTACAACGGATTATCTTACATCTAACCTCAACTATAATTGCCCTATGCCCTATGTCCGGCTATCTAAAACCTGGATGATTAAAAAAAACTATGTGAAGACGCGCAGAATGGCATAGAATACAAGCTCCAAGACGAAGATTAAATCTGTAGGAACACTACTTGACCGAAGCAGCCGAGATGACTTATGGTGCTTCTTAGAGTCTTCCTGTAATGGGCGAAGTTTTGACGGAAAAAACTAGAGATAGTGCTCAAAGTCAGATTTTAAAGTTTTTCATTTAGCATAATGTGATTGCGCTCTTGCATAGAAAGTTCGTGAGCGCTATACAATAGAGCTTACATTACGAACATGTGAAATCGAAGCAGTAACTTTCACGAAACGTTCATATGAGGGCAGTACAATAGCTCATAGAGAAAGTACATCTAATTGTGGGAAAAACAGGTGCGGTAAAGCATATGCAGCTGACTGTGATTCATTCAGTACCCGAAGTGTCGGACTGAGAAGAACAGTTTTTACAAAGAAGTTACAGAACCCCTTTCCTGCTAGCTGCAAAACAAGTGTATAGACGGTTGCTAAAGAGCAATTTGCAAAAGTGCGAGAATAAATGTGGTTAACAATATACATTGTTAATATACGAAAGTTATGGTAATTTACAAAATGGCAGCTATTCGGGTAATTGTTACCATAATTAGACACCTGAGATTTGCAAAGCGACTGCGGCAGCGGTAAAAACTGGCGTTGTTCTAAGGATAACTTACGTGTCTCGTTCGAAAGAATATCGGCCTTAACAGAATCAGGGAGGACTTGGTTCTCTTGCCAAAGACATTGAGATTTCTGGAATTAATCCAGAACGCCTCGAGAGTTTTTGCGCGCTTGTGTTCTTGATTCCTGCGCGAGAATCGTGACACGAACTTCAAAGTCCTCCCCGTTATGTCTCTGGGTCCCATGCGTGCCTAGCGGGGTATTTGGTTTATGTTTTCCGGCTAGGTGTTCTTTTATGCGAATACAGATGGGTCTGCTCGTTTCGCCAATGTATTCGTCTCCGCACACCTTACAGGGGATCAGATAAACTATACCCGAGCTCATGCAATTACCGTCTCTATCATTGGGGCAAATTATGCAATTTTGTGATGCATATAGACAGTCATATAGTCGGTTACGAAATGCTAGCGCCTAAGATTACTCGGTGGCATTTCAAATACGTTTACCGAATTCTCTAGACCCACCCTTCTTAAGCAGCGTTTTACAGCTGCACTTACATCATTTGAGATGAAGGGTAGAATAAACGAGATCTTTTTATCGCTAGAGTTATCGTTCGGGTGCCTCCGATTTTTCCTGCACCTATCCCGACCTACAGTTTCGTAGCCATTGGAAATTGCTATTTGCTGCGCCAAGTGCCGAGACTCCTCTCTCTGCTCTTTTCCCGTGCACACGTTGGTTGCTGTTCGAAACATGTCTCTTACAAGCGCTCTTTTCGTGTGAGAGGGGTGAGAAGAGGGGTAATGTACCAGAATGTTTTTACTACTTGGGTTTCGGTATCACTTCGTAATGTAGCCATTTTCTGATAGGTTAATTCGGACGTTCAAGAATGGAAGCCATTTTTCTTTCGGTTTCTCTCGAGTGAGCTTGTTATACTCTCACTATTTATTCAACAACTGAAAACACTTGTCCATTTTCTCTTGTGTCGAGTAAAGGAGAAAACAACCATATATATATCTACAGTAGAGTAGCGGCCCAAGATCAATCACCGGTGCTTCCACCTTAGACATAAACGCAATGGCGAGACTTGGTGCAGTCGTTGTCTCATTGCCAACCCTCTTATTTGAGCGTAGTACTTTCTGGACCATCTGAAGATTGAGCAGCTCAAGCATACTTTTAAGAGTGCCATCAACTGCTCTATCTTAAAGCCATACATGTTTATTTCTCTTTCGTGTTGTAGAAGGAGTTCGAATATGGCTTGCATTGCGGAGTCATTCGACACGTTTCTATAAAGGGCGGTAACGTCGAAGGACTCCATCACGTACGCGCTGCTGTCTAACCTTAAATAATGATGGATCGGTAGGCGCAAGTTCATCGCTGGATTCTAACTTATGAGTTTTTATAAGCAAGTACAAGACGGAAGATGTTGGTAAGGCGATTTTTAGTTGAGAGATAACTGATGGTTTTAAAACAGCAACCCTTACCATTTTGGCCCAATCATGGTTTAATTTTCGGTATCTACTTTTAAACTCCTTCTTAGATGATGGGCGATAAAGCGAAGCATCTTCAAAATGCTTTTTCGTTATCTCAACATCCAACTAATGGGGAATTACGACAAACTCTCCGCTCTTATTACTAACGGATAGTCCTATGTTTTTCAACCTTATCAGCTCTCTAACCTCTCGCATACCACGTTTTTGAAACTTCAGTGAGGTTTGAGCTGTATCTTCTCGCGCGATAGTGATTAAGGACTTTGAGAGTTTCATTCGTAAACATCCGAAATTTAACATCAACTTCATTATTGGGCTCTTGTTGTCTAAAGAACGGCTGAGGAAATGGTGCTATTGGTAGGGCCCCCTCTCTGTGTTGTTCACACCTATTTCGCGCTTTATCTCTAGCTTTCTTGTGGAGTCTATCTTGAAGTTCGTATCAAGTTTATCAGGAAAGTTTTCGTATCAATTAATGAAATGCGTTATAAGTAAAAATATCTTTGCCTAGATCTGAGGAAGACAATCATTTATATAAAACGTGTTAAAATCAGTGCATCTTGGGTGTTATGTGTTAGCCAGTACACTAGAAGCAGTGGCCGTAAGATAGCCCTCCGTAGTAAAGACATTTAATGCTGTTAAATTCTTCACCGAGCAGTACATCCGACACCTCTATATATCGCAGAAATTATTCAATGCGTATTCGGCTTATACAAGAATTTGTATAGAATTTGTAATCAAGAATACAAACGAATGCATTATCGAAATGGATAGGCAACTCTGTGTCTCTACAAAGGAACATTTGGAAGGGAAGCGTTAAGTTAAGCCAAATACTGCGCTTGGCTCGCATTGGTTGCTGAGAGAAAACGGAGAAGATTTTAAAATGGAAGTTGCCATCTTCCGATTGCATCGAAAACCACCGTGAAAATCTCTCGAAGTGTTCTGGGTAGCTTCGAAGAATCCAAAAATGGACGAAATGGAAGAATGCCTCGTTATTACTCGTGATCTCGCACAATATCTTAGTCTAATATTTTAACGTAAAGGAGGCACATTACGCCTTTACGTAAATTCTGTGCGGTTGGTCTCCACATGGAATGCTCAGTAGAAGACATGAAAAGCGGCAAAATTGAGAAGAAGCTATTTTGTTCTATACGCTATTGAAATCGACTTTTCATGATCCGATGGGGTTATGGTGGTGTTTGGCTGCGTAAATTGAGTGAACTCGAACTTTTTCTAGGCTCTAAAGAAGATTAATTCGCCGAAACGCCAGCGCTTTTGTGAATAAAGAATAACGAAAGAGCCTCGCCTGTGCTCATTTAGAAAACAGCAGATTATTGAACAATGCCGAGGTTCATAGAAAGTCAGATTTGGTAATAATCGTGGTTAATCCCAGGAATGTTGTGATTTTGAAGCTGATGAAAAAAAAAGTTGTGCTCAAATTTCTCACTGTATAGTACAGCACTTTATTTGTTTATATTGTTCAGCTTACACAAGGTTGATAAGAGGTGTTCATTCGCCTAACGTTTCGACGTCTTCGTCTTCATCAAAGCCAACGATCTATGTCGATGATCGACAGTTGTTCCTCTTCTCGATTTGGCGTCTTCGTCTCGCATCGAACCGAATATTCCTCAGTTAAGCATCTCGAATGAGCCGAACACACTCGGGGAACTTCCATCATACAGGGCGTTTATACAGTGCTTTATGCTTATCAACCAATTAAGTTACGAAACTCGTACATTCTCCTCATTATTTACAAACTATTCCATAAAATTCTCGTTTATTGAAGAATGAACAGATATTTGACAAAAACAAAGGCGAATCTTGGTTTGGCTGATGAAACAGAACGTAGGGAAAAGAAAGAAGTAAGCAATATGGTTGGCATCATGAACTTGACATTGAAAAATAGTCATTTACGAGCGGAGTTTTTTTTCACATGATCCATTTGGCAGGAACTACCATGCCGAGATGAAAAAATGCTCTGAGGTACTCAGACAAATTCTGTAATGCCATTACTGATTGATTATGGGACTTCATGTTTAAGACAAATACCTAACATCTGTGGTACTGCTGTTTTTCGGTGTTATCATATGCTAAGTTTCTTGGTAGCACCACTCCTCGGTTACATTTGCATCGTATTCTCTATTGAGAATAGTTTTAAGAAAGAAATTGAGATAGAATGTCATAGAGATGAACCAAATCATATCGAGCTATTTTATTGGCATTACAAAAGAAAACTTTGACCCATGGTAATGGCTGGTCATCTTGGGTCCACACAACCACTTTAATCGCTGGGAAATCCGATCAGATACCACTAAAGTCTTCTTTCGTTGCTCGTTGCTGCCGTGTGCCAAATATGTTCATTGTGCTCTGTCACTCGATCAAAAATAACTGCGCCACACTATCAGAACGGTTACTTTATAAAGGCCATATTTAGTTTACCAGGACTTGAAAGTTGTATTTACTCAGGAGCACCTCGTTAGCCTCATAGTGAATGTGGGATTTAGTTCGTGTAGGTTTACTGCGAACCCCGTCTAGAGCTGATTCATATTTACTTGGCTGTAGGCTCTCGGCAAACAGGTTCTAAAATTTCAAATCATGTAACACACACACTCATGTATGTGGTTGCGCTTGCAAAGATTGCAAAACTACCGAGCAGTGGAGTCAGGGAGCCCATTGTCCGAATAGTTTTGCTTTACGTGGCAAGCACATATTTTCCATGCGGGTGCACCATTGATATAGGCTTAGTTCATCAATTTCATCTTGTTCGTAGTTCACCTGCTGCTTATTTTTCTTAGTTGAATCTGAGTTCTTACACTTTTTGTACTCTGTTTTCGATTAAACAATGATCTGCCTTTCGCTTTACTTCCATCATGGATGCATAGTTCGTCACTTCAACCATGACAGAGAGGCATTGGAGAATTGTGTACTTCCTACATTGTACAAGCCTATAATTGTTCTTCTTGCTATTTTGATATCATCTGCAAATGTTCGAAGCGATAAGCGTATAGTTACATGGGAAAACCACAAAGATGCTGAGACATTCGCAAAACGTGCACTCCAGGCCAGATTCAACCACAATTTCCTTATCCGGGGACTAGCGCACTACGCACTGCGCCACGGAAGCCCTTGCTCTGAGTGTCTCTCAGCTAGTGTTGTATTTACCAGTGCCATCAGCAAACATCCGTTAACGGGATAGTTAACTTGCTGAGAGAGACGCAGATCGGGCGCATACGTGGCGTAGGGTGTAATGCGCGAGACCCTGGAAAGGGGATCGTAGTCCGATCTCCCTCGAGGTCCAAGTTTTGCGAATATTTAAGCACCGTTCTGGTTGGCTTCGCATAATCCCCTACTGCGAAAATTGTAAGCAGTGAATAAAAAAAGTAAACATTCTGATAAAAAGGTGTACATTAGAACTTCACACAATTCTTACCGTTCAAATATTTAGAAGACGTTCAGTAGTGACCATTCGACAATGCCGCTAAAATGGTTTAGCTATAGAGGCGCTCTGAAATCATTCGTTGTATTCTGCCGTTACCATCTGTTTCTGCACGATGATACCTGCGAGTATCACTCCATTACATCGCTAAGGAATGCTTTCCATAAAATTTTTGAATCAGACACACGAAACGTGTCGAAGAGGCAAATATTTCCTCTTGTCCAGTTTTCGACCAATGCAAAGTGTTCTTAAAAGACTTGTGAATCTTGTGATTTTTGTATTTTAGAAATGTGTTCACTTGCATCGATCACAGCCAAGAATGCAATTTTCGTCTCGAACTTCTCTTTCGGACACAGTTTTACGGGCATCGTCTTGGCGACCGAAGGCATGTCGATCCTGGAAGTTTTTTCTCACAGTCGACATTTGTGGCACATCTTTAAGTTGCTATCAATAGCATTATATTAAGGGCAGACCTTTCAACTATGGAAGAAACAACTAACCAGGTTAAGAAGACGGAACGGCTCGAAGGTTAGATGAGATCCTCAGAGACGCTTCTAAATACTTCAAATTATGACGGAGTTGCCAAAATATGAACCAACTTGAATACTGACCGTAACACCCTGATGGAACCGCAAACGACGATTTCCAAAATCATTCACAGGTCCGATGACGTTTCATGCGTTTCATGTTTGCACCCGTGAAAATAATGAAGAAGATCAACTAGCTCCACAGATGGTGCTCCATAATCTTAGCGTTATTCAAGGTGCACATCAAATGGAGACTGTTAATTGGCTTCTTTCACTGAATTTTACCAACTGATCCAATGATAGATTTGGAGTTCGTGAGGAAAAGGTATATTCTTCATAAATGTGAAACCTTCACATTATTGTTTTCCGATAAGCCTCCGAAAGACTTTCATAGGCCTTAGACGAAACATTAAAATCTATAGGATCGTGATAATTATCTAGTGGCGAACAGTGGGAACACTAGTAACGACTCTATTTTACTTCACAATAAAGCGCCCACGTATATACTAAACCACTAAAAAGTCGATCTATGAAGCGCTACATTCTCCACAACGATGATGCGGTATTCGCAAAACTTGGACACAAGGCCAGATCGAACCACGATTACCCTTTCCGGGGGCTTGCGTATTACACACTGCGCAACGGATGCCTTTGCTTTGTGCGTCTCTCACCTAGTTTTCAAACTACCATTCTCCATATTCTCCAGACTATGGAACAACTGTTTTCCCTTTTTTTCATAATCATCTAAATCACTTTCTTGAGAACGAAGTTTGTAAAAATCAACAAGGGGTCAAAAGTTCTTTACGACTTTTTTTGAAATATTTGCAATATTTCCGACAATTTTATCTCATTTTGCAAACTGGTGAAGGAGGAAAATATTAACAATGTCATACCAAATTTGCGATGGGGAACACAGTGTTAGTACTGATTACTCGAGGCGTTACATCGATGGCATTAAGGATCAGGAATTCGATGAGTAATGGGACCTTCTTCTCCCTCTATAGTGGACTTGGTGGTTGGACAATAAAAGCGAAAAAATCGGAATTAGCTCAAAATTTGCTAACTCATCGCGGCGTCCGCTTTCTCCTGCGATCAAGCCGCTAATAAAAAAATGAATAAAGCTCTCGGCGTTGATCAATAATCTCTGAGAGATGCGCCATGTTCAACTTCATTAAGTATCGTTGGATGTGATCGAATGCAATATCTGGTCTTTACAATGACTCGTGGTGGTCTGCTGATGTATCGAGCCAGTGCTGCTATCCTTCCAGACAAGTCTGGTACCAATTTGCCGATGCCAGAGGGATGGAAGGCTTGGTGTGCCAATGGCACGGAGAACGATTCACCGTGTGTGTCGTAGTGGCGCCTCCAACCACTGCGCCATACGTGCCCTACCTGAATCACAAAAAACATGACCGGCAATAATAACAGCTAGTGGAGTAAATTCTATTTGAATGTAGTGATTCAAGAGTCAAATCTTATGCTAAGTAGTAATTATTGCACGAAAGTTCGTTACATGTGGAAGTGATTTTAGTCAAACACTGCGTGCCGTTTTAGTAGTTTGAAAAACCGACTTTCTTTTAACCTCGGGATGGCTAAACGTTATATACTCTTTCAGCGATAAACTAACACGAATCTATATAAAAACTTGATTTCGCCGAGGTTTCAACATCCTCGTCCTCTTCACAGCAGACTTGAATCGAAGTCGATTGTGCGCTGCTATTCGTTTCCCACAAAGAAAAGAAAAGCTCTAACGAGGCATTCCAACTTTACGTTGCCTCTAACCGAGGTATAATTTTATACTAATATCGTTATAGCTTAAAATTTGAAGACAGTGCTGATCTGTAAAGAGGGCTTCAGCTTAGCTGGACTTAATATGGCTTTCTGTTCTTCAGACTATTCCTCTTGACGGGTGATTACTATGGCACCATTGTGAAGAAAGCCGGGTGAGTGAGGCAAAGCAAAGGCCTCTAATCGCGGCTTCGAATCTGGCTTGGGGTCCACGTTTTATAAATATCTCACCATCATAGTGATCTGAAAATGGTTATCACTTTCTACCCGTTTTTGCTGCTATTCAAGTTAATATCAGTCCACATTTATTCACCCAACAATCGTCATGTGCTTGACGACACTGTCTAGTGAGATTATTAAACTCAAGCGATGCTTCACTGGATTTGACTTGATGGGATCAAAAAGAGATTAATGACTGTGGATAATCGTAGCCTATGAATTTGACTCTGAAGAAGACGAAACCGCCAAGCTTCAGCCAAGTGAAACTTTCAATCAACCTCGTATTAGCTTATCCATGAAAGAATATAGATTGGTTATCCACGCCGAGATTAAGTGAAGGTCGATTTTAGAAATTAACTCTATTTTTTTTGATCGTATTGTTTCAACTGGTCGTAGAAGTCATTTTCTGAGAAATATATCTGATACAGACAACGGAGGGTGTTGCTCAATGGTTGCGGCGCCTGCAAAGGACACGGTCTCTGACTCGTTCCACCGCTACCGGCAAATCAAGCTGTCGATCCCTACGAAGTCTGTAGAATACTCCAGAGCTGTTTGGGAAGATAAATTGAGAGCTCACCTACCAGAAGCCGTAATTAGTATGGTGTGTGGAAGGCAAAACTGAGCTGCATTCTCAACTGTCATGTCAGCCCTTTTTTGTTGTTATCGATATGGCGACAGATGAACTGTAAATCAAATTCGTATCCTTCAACAACAAAAAAATTTGAACAAGGAGCAAAGATGAAGCGCAAGAATTCGAATCGCACTTTTCTAAACTAAGAAGGAAGGAATGCTCTGTCGTGCAAAGTTATGCACATTCTTATATCATTACCGAACGCAAGCGAATTTCGAAACCAACCATAAGTGTTTAGCATGGCCGCAAAGGTGCACCTTGATATCAATGAGAATGGTATGGCGAATGTAATGTCCGCTTGCTTGAAGCCACAGATCTCATTCCGTAGGAAGTATTATTGTTTGAAACAAAAACGATTGAAATGTATAGATCCTCACAAAATGGGGGTAAGCACATTATTCTGTCGCAATAAAGCCTTGTTTTCCTGTAGCACATCGAACTTTTTTCACTATGCGTTGATTTACCTGTTTCCCATTAAAAGCAAATGAAGAAGCAGGACTTCGTCTATCGTCTAGTTATCAAGCCATAACTAAAATGGGGCGATGTTTTCTAACTAATAAAGCACTTTAAATAATGTTTTTAAAGCTCCCATTAGTAGTCTCCCCACTATGCTTGAGTGTGCTGCGACCATACTTAAGGTACAATGAATTTCAGCTGTTCTTCTCGTTTGCTGTTTTTTTGCTGCTATTTTGTTTCTTCTTGAACTTTTTTCAAGTGCAAAGACAAGCCACAAAAGCTAGAAATATTTAAGCCGGATGCTTCGCTTTTATGCCCACACTTACAATTGCTTTGGGAACTATTCCGCCTAAGAGTTCAAAGTTGACGTCATCACCGATTACGATAAACCAATGAAGGCGGCTGCACCACCCTGCTCCGAAATACGTGCGAACTGTGAGAAGGGCTAAGTGGCACTATATGTGTTTATGGAACGACGTTGTACTTAAGGAAAAATGGCAGTTCATGGGAACCGACATTTGAGATGGAACGCCGTTAAAACGCTGCAGTAAACGATAATCGAACATCTTGTGGCTGTTTAACGAAATTTCGACTCGTTTTACAAAAAACATCTTTCATAAGCTGAAAAATCATTGCTCGATCAGAAATCAACATTTTTTGTACAATTTTATTACGACACAGGAACTCCTTTTCAAACAAAATTTCACGTCGAACTGTTGTGGTCACCCCTAAATGAAGCAATCAGTAACCATTATTTGTGTTCATTCAAAAAGACGGACAGGAGAAGACCGCTTAGGTTTTGTTAGAGAAAAAAGTGCATAGACGGTTACGAACTAACTGACGACGTAGAGTATCCAGTGATATTTCAACTATCGCTACCGTTTCCTCTAGACCTGCACTTCTTAACCATCGTTTTATAGCTACGATTACTTCATCGCTAATAAAGGACAACATAAACGGGACTTTCTTTTAACCATTTGTTTCGCTTGGGCGCGTCGTTCTCCTTCTAAACTTATCTCGTGAAGTTACTATTTCGTAGACATCGGAGATAACTATTTGCCGAGCCAAGTCGCGCGTTTCTTCCGTTAGTTTCCTGGTTCCGCACACAAAGGTGGCTGTTCGAAACATGTTTCTCACAATCGCTCTCTTTGCATGTAAAGATTGGGAAAAAAGTGAATGCACAAGGATGTTCTTGTTACTTGGCTTTCTGTACCACTTTGTGAAGTAACTGCTACATGATAAGTTAAGTTGAACGTTGAGGAATGGAAGCCAATTTTCATTCGGTTTCTCTCGGCTGAATTTATTCAGACTGCCCATTCAAGAATTTAAAGCATTTGCTCATCTTTTGCTGAGTACAGAAGATGACAAACAATCATCGATATATCTGCAGTAGAGTAGCGGCGGTGTTCAATAATGGGGGCTTCTATTTCAGACATGAATATCATGGCGAGAGTTGGTGTCAACCGCTGTCCCATTTCCAACCCTCTACTTTGGCGTAATAATCCCAGACCATCTGAAAATTGAGTAGTTTAGGTAGTCTTTTAAGAGAGCCACAAGCTGCTCAGTAGACAATCCATGTAGATGTATTCCTCCTTCATGTTCAACAAGAAGTTGCTGGTTGGCTTGCATTACGAGGTCATTAGACACGTTGGTGTAGAGCGCGGGAGTATCGGAAGACTCCATCACGCACGCGTTTTTAAGAGACGCGTTACGTAGACGTTCTAGGAACATTTGAGTGTTCGTGAAATGTGATGCAATATGGCTAAGCAGTTGGGTAAGTATTCGGCCTAGAAACCATGTTATTCTATCCGTTGCCCCG